TAAAACATAGCAGTGTAAAAATTAAAAAAGTCAGCGTAACTATTACAATTAGTTTATTTGAAAATGCAATTTTTAGACAAAATTTTACGAACTAACCCATGCTAAGCTAGAATGATTTTATATTTGGATTAAATGAATTAACAATGGATTAATATGATCGCAGACTAGCCTAGATTTAATGAAGAAAAAGGTGGAAAAAAATCAGTGAGGTAGTAGAATAATCTCAAAAATCATTCTAGAAGATTGTATTTTAATCTCAGCTGAGAATATGGCAGAGATTTTAGACGTCAGCAAATTAAAAAGATAACATTTAAAGATTTGACTTGGCTCAAAAAGACATTAAAAAAATTAAAATTTTTATGCATGCAAAATTAAAATTATTAGAAATAATATATTAAAAAATAATTTTTCACATTGATATGCTTAAGCCAAGTAATCGCACAACTGCAATGCAGCACATTATCTCGAAAGCTTGTCCGCCAAGCTTCACTTATCAGTGCTTCTGTTTCCAAATGCTGGATATTATTCTGTTCGATCACAATATCACCAATATTGATAATATTTGAGAATGCATGACCCGAAATGTTGCCAATTTTGTTATTACTAACAGTTAAACAGCCAATTGTGTACAATCCATTAAATGCTCCAGTATCGATACTTTGAATATCATTTGAAGTAATGTAAATCTCAAATTTAAATTTGGAAATAAAATAAAAATAAAGTTTGTAGCATTTACTCATAATATGCTGTTGTTGAATAGTTAGTGCTTCTTAAAATTAACTTTTCTGTAATAAAATTACTGTAAAATTTTCTGCACTACTGCAGTTATTTTTTCAATTGAAAATTGTCAAATTCGTTGTTTTGTTCAAAAATACCAAAAAATTATGATGTTTTTTTGTAATTTTTAAAAAATGACCATAAATGCAAATCTAAAATAATACATTACTTCTCGGACATGCGAAATCGCAGCGAATATGCCATCAGAAATAGAGAACTGAGAACGACCAATTTCAAGCCTTCAAAAATTTAAAAAGAAATAAAAGAAATATTGAAAACTTTTTGTTTGAGCAATTTATTGAATAATTTACTTTTAAATAAAACTTTTTACTAGCAATTACTTGCATAATTTGTTCTTAAAGTAAGAAAAAAAACTATGCAAGCAATTAGTTAAAATAGTGGCATAGTTAATTCAATTTTATCAGTAATAATTCATAAAACTCAAAATTCTGATAAAATGAAAAGATTATTTACCTATGAATTCTGGTGACATTCTCAAATGGTCGTAATCCAAATGAAATAACACCAAATAAATTAAAAAAATCAACTTGTGTTAGGCCAGCAAATGCATTTGTTTCAATTTTCAAATTTTGATTCTCTAAAGTAAACTCGCGCAAGTGACTAAGACGTCTGCAAAGATAATCACACCTTATCATCTTATCATTAAAATTTTTTGAATTTTTTTTCAACATAATTTCATTCAAATTTATCAGTACTTAATTGCAATAACCATGAATTTTCATACTTGCAAATATTAAATGTGTTTGCTATTTATACGAAAATGAAACCTGATGGTTGATTAAAATGTCTATTGACATAATTTACCTAAATAAACCGTGTCGTATTCGATGGAAGCTGTTATTAAGTAATTGAATTCGCAAACCATGCCTATTGGAAATTTGAGAAAATGCATTTTTGGCAATTTCAGATAGCGATGGATTGTTTGCTAAGCGAAGTAATCTGAAACAAATATCTATCCAACTGCCATAATATTCACAATAAGACTTACTGAGTGAATTTTAAATACAAATGTTTGCTTCCCTAAAATTTTACTTCTTTAATGTATAAAATTTTAAGTGAGTGTGTGATTTGAAACGTTTTAAATATATAACATTTATTCTACTTTTTCACCTAATCATATGTAAATATATATGAGTATATTTGAGCATTAATTCAAGTAAAATTATCGTATAAAATTCATCTAACTGTTAATTCTAAAATTTTTGCGTTAATATTATCATGGGATACTGTAATAATAATAGCAGTGATAATGTATTGATAATGATTGCAAGATTTACTTCAATCGATGTAAACCTTTAAACGAGAATTTTTCAATGGATCGCAACTCCTTGCAATCTTCAATTATTAGCTCTTCTAGATCTGTGTACCTGCAAAGGCTTAAACTTTATGATTATTTTATTTAAAAGATTCTCACTTTATTCTCTTTTATCTTCAAAACTTTTAAAATATAGCGGGCAGCGTGAAATTTAAAATTGTGATCGCAAGTAACAGATCAAACTTTCGCTTAGTGATTTTTGCTAAAAACCGGAAAATAAAATAAACGGAATTCATTTCTGAATTTGTATTACTTTCATTTGTTGAAGTATTGACTAAGCTAATATATATTGACATATATATATATATATATATTTTTGACACACTGAACTTTTAATTAGTCAGATTTAATTTTTAAATAAAATCACTGATTTGGAAATTTATTTGATTGAAAATACTTTTTGAATGCATTTTTGTGAATGACACGAAGCGATGAGTTTTTAATATGCAAAGCTCGAATCGTTGATTGCCAGATAACTGGTATTTTATCAAAACTAGCTTCTTCGCAGGTCACCTATAATCAGTGTTTTACATTTGCATAATTAATTCAATTTTTGTTGTTAATTCATTTTTTTTAATTAAATTTCTGTATTCAGGTAATTCAGTTATTATTATTCTCAATATATTCATTGCTTGTATCTTATTTTATTTAATGAGTTATCAATAATGATTGAAAAAGATCAGAAGGCATTTATAAAGAAGCAAGTTTATACGCCCAATTTATTCACTCAAAATACTACAACACTGTCGCAAAATTCAGTTACTAATACAACTGCCATTACTATTATAATTATTAGTTATTATACAGTAATTATTAATATCAGTGTATTATTATTATTATTAATCATCAGTAGTTATTAATATTAATGGTCATATTATGTATTATTTCACTCGTATCAGAATATTTAACATAAATTTATTATGTTCTGCAACCCATAACTCTTTAATTAACTAAATAATATTTCGACCCAACGAATACTTTATATTTTTCTGATGGAAACTGCTGGAAACACTCACAAAAGTGATTGAGTTTCACTTTCTTATCAATCAAAAATAAATTATTTGTGAAAAAGAGACCAAATTGAAGACATTTAGAAATTGCTTGAACTTTTTGATAACTTTTGATGAAAAAGCAGTGAATTGCAACCATTTCGGTGTTTTGGTAGTGCCAAACGAAACGAACTTTTGGTAACTTTTACTTGTGATTCTATTCAGTTCAGTGATATTAATGGAATTAAACTGCAAGTTAGCAGCAAAAAGATTAAATCTAACAATTTCAAATAGGTAAGGCATTTTAATTTTGATAAAATGAATTAATTGAGAGTTTTTTTGCTAAAATACAGTAATTAAAAAGTATTGCAAGATGAATAAAACAAATATAAAGTAAGTATAACTGACCATTTCAGAATTTTCACACTGGCAGTTGTTTGGACAAAATGATAATACTTCAGGCGTGCTCGAACGAAAACTGATCAACGCTAGGATTGATGTGATTAGCAATTTAGACAACATCTCACCTAATATCGCTCGAATTACTCACACGTTGTTCAATTACTTGCCAATTACACGTTGGAATCATTTTTGCTTGCTTGTATGAGCTGAAATTACTACCATTTATGTAATAGGTTTTATTTTATTTCGTTCTCAACGCTAAAAAACCTACAAATATTACTGTGCTACGGAAAATAGTTCTTGTACTTTCTACAATTTGCATTATTTACTGTTATGATAATTGAGGACAGTTTATTATTTTCGTTTTTATCTTCATTCATATCAATATCATTGTTATCAACACTATTTGTTTAAGTTCAAATCATTTCAGAAATCAAAAAATTAAAATCAGTACTAATACCTCCAGATTTACTGAATTATTACAAACTATATGTTCGATTTGTTCAAATTTGTATAATTCAGTATTTGATGTGAATGAATAGCAACATTCGTTAGTACATTCATAAATGTTACTTTTATGATTACTTTGATCACTTTCCCTTTATCATTAATATTGTCTTTATTTATGTTATTGTAATTAACATAATTCTTGCTAATCTGATCAATATTCTATAAACTAAATAGCACTTCAAATTAAGCAAACTGAAAAGATTAATAATACAGTACAGTAGTAATAGATAAAAATGATTGCATATTCACTAATGATAAAATAAATACTTAAAAAATAAAAATATCCATATCCACATATATATATAAACTTCCACAAATGAGGTTAGTATATTAACTTTGCAGTTTTTGATACAATTTTTACTGACAACTTTGTTGCACAAGTTGAAGCATACTAAAACATTTCAGATTATTATCATACGAATGCTTGAAAAACTTCGCTAAATTCTAACCAATTACTTATTCTTTGCTCTATAAAAGATCAAATTACGATTTTTTTTGCTTTCTTACAAACAACAATTAGCATAATTTGTTTTCCGAACAGCAAGGTTTTGTGCAGAATTTTTCTACGCTATCTGTCAACAAATTTGCATACGTCTTTTATGCAAAAAAAAACTTAATTATGCTTGATTTTGTGCAGCAAAAAGTTAGTTTTCACGTTCTTAATTGATTTTTGTGCTAATCCATCATTTAATGCTTCAGCTGAATCCGTCAAAGTTAAAGTAATCCGTTGACATATTCTTATTAAAAGCGAAAATTCGAACGCTATATCTTTGGATATAAAAATTTTAGCTTTATTATAACTTACATTAATTATATGTGTAATTTTTTGAGATTAAAGTTGCAACTTTTAATTGATTTTTCTTACATTAAAAAATATTAACAATAATAGATCGTAATTTTTATCAGCAATGAAAATTTTTATCAGTTTGGATGTGATTATTAATTACAATTATACCGCTACTGCAATATGAATTATAAAGTTAAAATTATGATAAGGAATTGATTTTTGTTTTCACCGCCTGATTATGTACACGAAACAAAATAGAAGAAATTATTATTATTATTATTATTATTATTATTGTTATTATTATTATTGATTATTATTATTATTATTATTATTATTATTATTGTTATTATTATTATTGATTATTATTATTATTATTATTATTATTATTATTGTTATTATTATTATTACTTTGAAAAAGCATTGAAAAGTTATTTTTAACTTTACAAAGGCCATACATTATTTATTTATTATTTCATGGCATTCTTTTTCCTTCGAAGCGTTCTCATTCATTTTACTTCCGTTAGTTAGCACTTCAAAAAATAAAAGTTAGATCACACTTACTTGATTTCAACTAAATAACTATCATTTTCATTTAATTATTATTCAAAAAACTGCATATTACATTTGCAATGAATAACAGAGTAAGGCAGTCTTCTATTCATTGTCTGCTTGCAAATTCTAAAAAGTTGTATTCAGGCGTTTTTGTCAATTCAATATTTTATAAGAATTTTTCATATTAATTTCAAAAAGCAATGCAATGAATAATTAAGAAGCTGGCGAGTTCACAATTAACAATAAATTTTGCATTAAATAACTAAAAGAGAATTAAAAACAAAAAATAACATAAAGTAAATAAAATAATAAATAAATTAATAAAATATTAAATAAATTAATAAATTAATAAATAAATAAGTAGCAGTTAATGGCAGACTTTGGCGAGGCTTTCCTTCACGCTTCTTAGAGCACAAAAAATAGTGAAAATTCGTTGCTGAAGGAGAAGTGATGAGAGTGAAATGAAAGTAAATTGATATTTTGTTGAATTTCAATTTGCATTTTCTCTTCTAAAAATGTTCACTTTATGAAAAGCAGTTATTAAATGCATCAATTTGCATGTCAGAAATGGAAAAATGAGCAAGTTTTTGAATTTAACTCAATTTAATCTCATATTATTAAGTTTAAACTCTTTTTAGACACTTTTCTGGACCACAAATTATTTTAATTTAGCAAATATGTAATCAGTTAATCAGTTCTGATTAATCACTCATAGAAATAATTGCGCACAATTAAAAAGATATTATTTTTAGACTAATTTTATCATCAAAATTACAATAGAAATAAATAACTGTCAATGAATTAATATAATTACTGTGTATAATAATTATACATAATTTAATTGCATAAATAAATGTAAACTTTATTGATACAAACCAATTGGTAACTTTTTTTCAAACTCTACAAACATAAAGTAATCAAATTAGAACTGAAATAATAATATTTTCACATTTTTGTAACTGAAAATTGACTCAAATTAAATGCGAAAAACGATTTGAAATGGAATTACGGCGAAAATGTACAACGAAAGCATACTAAAGAACGCTGTAAAGCTTAGTTAGTGCATATGTAGTATAATTTAGTTTTTGTTTAAAAAAAAGGGAAAAAGGTGGAACTTATCCATCCATCGCAGTGATAAAAATGTGAAATTTGAGTGCATTTTCAGAGTAATAAAAGTTGTAAAAATATCAAAAATATTGGCATTAAATTTTATAAAATACGACAGTTTTCGATGATAAAATAGCAATATAACTTATTGTTTAATGCGAAATTATACATTTAATTTCCACTGAAACTTGCAATTTTTGCACCATATTTAGCTAATAAATTTTATGTGCATTAGCGGAAAATATTTAAATTAATAACTACTCGAAATGGTACTTTGAAATGAAAAAAGGATATTTGTTTCAAAAAGCTTAATGAATTATTATTTCATTCTTCATGCTATAGCAAGCACAGATATTAGAAATAATAACTGCAGAAACTAGAAAGCGTATTTCAATCTTTCGCATATAATTTTTTATAAAAAACACATATTAGCAATAAATCCAAAAAGTTCAAAGGTATAAAAGTCATTTATTTTTAGTCAACTCTTCAAGTTGATAATCAAAAAGTATGACATATATTAATTATTTAAATTCTGCAGTGAAAATTTACTAGTTTCATTGAGTAAAAGCGTATATTACTATTAATATCCGAAAATCTTCAAAACTGTAGGAGTAATATGAAGCTTTTACAGAAATCTATCAAATTTCAGATTTCTGTACTTAAAAACTATTACTCTTAAAGTCAAGATAGTTCATTCATAATCAAATTAAAAGCTTATTTCACTTTGATTTTAAACTTACACTTTACTGCAATTTAAAATTGAATATTTTCGTTGCAAACTGATAAAAACCAAATCATTTTAAACTTAACACTTTTCATTTATTTGCACAAGCCTGAATAAGAAGTAAAAATCTCGAGCTTTTTTATCTTCCAATTATGAATAAACTAACTTAATTAAAAGTGCTTTCTATTTCAAAAAATTAATAGTATCTAAAAAGCAAACAAAATTAAGCATTTTATAATCACAATTGAAAGCAACAGTAACACAGCGATTTCAGTAATATTTTCAGTAATAAAAATATAAAAATATCAAAAAAGAAACCAATCTCACTCACTTATTGTAAACAATGCAATTTTAGCACTGAAAATTGCTTTGATAGATATCTCAAAATTGTTGTTGTAAAATTTAACTTTTCACTAAAGTAACTATAAAATATATCAAATTACTTAGAGCGTTCTTAAATCTATTCAGTTGATAATAAAAAAACTTGATAAATTGTCTGAATTGTTTTTTCGAGAAAGTAAAGTAAAAAAAGTTAATACATTTCTTATTGTCACTCAATTTTTTCTGCACATTCTTTTTCAAGTTTGTCTTTTTAATTGAGTATTTATTTTTGAATGAATAATTCTGATAAATTAGTCTTTAAGTAATTTGTTCAGTGCTTTAGCACATTTATGGTTGATATAATTTTATATTTATTTGAAAACTATCCTAAATTCATATACTTGATCAAAACATATTTAAATGAAATTTATTGATAGACCAATAAAAGTTTTTATTACATTAATTTTGTTTTCTGAAAGCAATTTTCATCAACAAATACAAAAAGATTAGGCAAATATGTAAAAATAAAAATATATATTGAATTTTTAGAATATTTGAATCGGAATAAATCTCTACAGCTATCAATACTGCTTTTGATTTAAGCTTTGACTGATGAAAATAACTTTTATGGCTAACTTTTTGCTGCAACTAATCTATCGTAAATTTTGCAAGCATAAAAGAAAGAGAAAAATTATTTTAAAAGCCAAATGAAAAAGTAATTATTAATATTTTGTGTAGAGTTTGTGAGAGTATCTTTGAATTGCCTTTCTTAGTTTTTGCTTGCTTTAGGCGTTGGCCATCAAAATGTGAATCAAAAATGGTTAAAACTGAAACTATAAAAGCATTAGTTAGCACTTTATTGAAATATAATGAGAACAAGTTTTAAGACAGTTTTCAAAGTTGAGTGAATGCATGAGTAACAAAAATTAATAATAGCGTAAAGAGATTATGGGAAATGAGTCAAGTACAGATAATTTTTGGCTCACAGATCATTCTAGCAAAATAGATCAAGGAAAACCACTGAAGTAAATCATACGATTTAGTGCAAAATTGAATTAATACAAATGAAATAATCAGCAATCAGTCAGTGTAGTTCAATATTTGTTATCAGTGCTCATA